GCTTCCTTCTCGAACTACTTGAAACAAGCCAACCAACATGAATACATAACATTTCATATATGCTTCCTTCTAGAACCGGGGCATTACAATGTTTGAAGGCAATAGAAATGAAGCATGTATCAGCATTTCAAAAACTACTTCAACCTTGTGAATTGATAATTCGCAGCTGCATAAAATGAACAATTTTATATATTACCCAAATTTCAGAAACTTGAGTCAACTTCATCCATCATCATAGAAGAGGGCCACACACATAAACCATTTCACATAAAGAAAAGCACAGAAGACTGGCTTAAGTGAACATACCAAGTACAAGTCATCAGCAGAAAATATTCAAGTGCAGAACATACATGATATAAATTACAGCCACGTCTCTTTATCCAGCAAATGCAGCATCATAGTAACTCACTCGATCAAAGCAACTGCACTCAAACCAAATATTCAATAATGTTCCTGGCTAATCCCTCTCGTCAAAATCCAAAAGGATGTAACAACCAACAAATACTTTCTTCCATTTCTATTTCATTTTCATCAAGCACAAAGTCAAACTTTCCTAGTCGATTCATCTTTCTAAATAACAAGGGGGGAACAAAAAGAGGCTTTTTCACTAACCATCTAAATCCATTACATCAAAAGCCCTAAACAAATCCCATTGAACAGAACAAAAACATGTAAAACAATGTTAAAACCTAGTCTAACTAGTCTAAGAAAATTACCAAAAAAAGAGAAAAAATAAAAATAAAAAAAATCCAAACACCTGCAAGCAACACTGAAAAAAATAAAAATAAAATCAAAATCAACCGATTCTCCACACTATCCTACCTTATATCCACAAGACACCACAGGCACATTCACCATAACCCCTTCATCCTCCACCTCTGCCATCTGCTTCAGTTTCCTCATTTCCACAACCTTTCTATGCGAATTCGAGTGCAAACCGCTGGAAAAAGTCGGGCTGCTCGCGGGCCTGTACTCCGGCAGAAGCCGGCCCGATTTGTACCGGACCCCACATGCATTGCAGAGTGTCTTTGGGCCCATTGGGCCCGCCCGCCACTGTGGCGTCTTGTCCGTCTGGCAATGCAAGCACTTCCTCCCATTCCCGCCATCTGAAGACGAAATGGGCCTGACCACCGATTTCCCACTAGCCCGTGAAGGGCCCGACACCGGTACTGGAAGAAGATTGCCAAAGCCCGAAGTTCTTTTCCTGCGCTTGTTCCGGGCCCGGACAGGATGGGTTGCTGCTGGGATTTGGAGGCTGTTGCAGCAGCTGGCAATGGTGATGCTGCCACTGTTTGTGTGGCTGCTGCTAATGCTAATGCTGTTTTCGAGAACGGAAACAGGGCTCTGATGGGCGCTGGACACGAGTTCCGGATTGTCGGACAAAATCCCGAAGCAAGTCTCCACTGCCGGAAATGCGTCCTTGTTCGACAGCCATTCGAGCTCCTCCTCCACGAATTCCTGATATGGGATTTTGAAAAATAAAGGCTTTTTTCAAAAAACTCCAACCCCATCACATTTCAAACACATGGGAAAATTTCATTATTCAAAAGGTGTGGGCTTTCTTTTAGGAACCTCCAATATTTTCAAACTTGGGGTGCCACTGCCCACTACTCTTTATATTTCATATTAAAAAAAGAAAAAGAAAAAAAACAAGGAAAAGGAGAAATCAAGTGAATGGGGCACACAATGTTGGCAATTGATCGCTGCTAAAGTTCAAGGGCACGCATAAAGTCAAATTATTCCAGGTGGGATCACAGAAGTGGACAAATTGGGGGAATAATGCTGAGAGGGGCAAAAGCGTCTTTTCAGATATGGAAATATGAAACATTTATTAATAATGGAGTGGTGAGAATATATGCCACATTATCATCGCAGTATGTTGTTGAGAGGGACTTTCTTTTGGCATTTGAAATTTAATTTTACAGCTCAACTCACGTTGTTGGGAACGTGACGCCGAATATAGGAAGACGCGTTAAATAATAAACTTAAATTACCCAAACTACCCTCACCAGCCCAATTCTGCATTCCCAGAAGCACCCTTGACTTTAATTACTGTTCTAGGGTTTCATAAGGGCAAAATCGTCCAGTCACTTATATCAGTGTTCTCAGGCTTTTAACAAAGTGCAAGTCCGCTTGAGTTTTGCTTGTCCCGGCATGTTTGACTCGACCGATTCGAGTTACGAGTCCACTCGGAAATTCGTGTCGAACTCGGTCGGGTCAACTCAATCCGAGTCACGCCGGCTGTGTTCACCTAGTTTGGGGGCACCCTCAGACTCGTCCGAGTCACGAAAAGACTCGGTCGATAAATCTCTACCCCCTCGACTTCCCATACACACATGAGTTCAAAAGGGGTGAAACTTACAGGGAGTAAACCGGCCTGAGTCCCACGGCGGAGCGGCAGCGCCGCCGGGTCCGATGATTCCAAGGAGGAAGAGGAGGCGGAGGCGCCGCCTTTGACCACGGTGCGGTCCACCTCCCCTTCCTCACCGTCGCCGCCGTCGAGGGTGAAGTCGAGGAGGTCATCGTCTGCAGCGAAGCACGCTTGCGCTGGGCCAAAAATCTCCATTTTTTCTATGGTTTTGGATTTTGAGAAGAGAGATAATAAAATGTTAGGTTGGGGGAGAGACTGTCTTTCCTTTTTTTTTTATCTTTTTGTAAATGGTTGAGAGTGATATAATTATCGAAGGTCTTGAATTCAACGAAACGTTTTTTTCTAATGTATATTTGTTTTTTCTTTTGTACGCATGCTAGGGGAGTTATATCCTGTGCTCGGTGTAGGTCTAGCTCCGTGTGTCATTATCTCTCTTAAAAATATTTATTTCCCTGATTTAATCAGTAGTACCTTCTCAATAATTGACGTTTTTTAATATCATATGGGTAGTGTTGTAAAATAATAATTTATATTTTATTCAGTTTTACCCCAGGCAATTTGAGGAATAGAAAAAGAATTATGGAATATAGACACAGAAAGAAAATTTTTTAATATAGTAATGGTGTAATGTAATGTCCATTTACCAATTACCACCATTGTAAATTTCAACAAAAAAAGAAAATATCACTTATGTTAAGTTACTAGGTTTAGTGATTTTTTTCTCAAAATGGGGAGTGCAAATTGACCATAAATTACACGGGCAACCTACTCCACTAATTAGTAGTAGGATAAATAAGGGTTAATATGATAAAAAAAAATAAAAATATAATTTTAGTTCACTAACTTAGGTTGTTTTCCATTTTAGTCCAGTAATTTAGGTCAATCCAAAATTAGTCCAAAAACTCCCAAAATTTAGTCAAACTAGTCCAATTTCGATCCCAGTTGCCGGAATTCGATCAGAATTTGCTGAGTTGGCAAATTTCGGCGTCGACTAGGCTGATGTGGACTGATTTTCGGCCAATTAACTGATGTGGAATGTTTTCATGTCATTTTTTTTTAATAATTTATATATTCCATGTATTTTCTTTAAATATATATAATAACCCCAAAATCGGGCACTAAAATTATGTAGCCCTAATATTTAACCCTAATCCCAAAGTTACATCTTCGTTCTCAAAATTTGAAACCAAACTCACAATTTCTCAAAGTTTTAAACAAAAGTAAGAACCTTAATCAGAAAGTAATATCCGTCAAACGAACCCTAGGTTGTCGTGGTTTTGTTGAATTCAACCCATACACCATCGAAGATGGTGATGTTCAGAAACTCGCTTCACGCTGGCATGCCCCCTCTCGTATATCGTAAGTCTCACGTGTTACCCGTCTTATTTGCTGAGAAAATTCAATATACTATGCGCAAATCCATATAAATATATGTTTTTATGGTCCCTTATGAACTTTAAAATTTTCATTTACAATATTTTTTTTATGTTTGTCGGTTAGTTGTGCGTTGGTATTGAACATTGAATCATGTGGGTAGGGTGGGCAAGTTATGTCGGTCTTTGGGTGCTTTTGACTTTATCTTTGAATTTTGTGAAAGTTTTTTGTTTCTATACCTTTTTTGCATACTTTATTTTTCCTAATGTTTTAATATTTTTTGTCATTGTAGATTCACATTGTTTTGCTCTAACTCTTGTGATGCGTCATGGAGGTCAGTTTGAGAATGTCCCTAAGGCAAGATACACATATGGTTCTGTGAAAGTTTTTTGACTATGTTTAAAAGGGTCATATGATTATGGAAAATTTTGTTCAGTGGGAAAAAAGTGAAAATATGTGATGGTAAGCAAAGATTTACATTATGGTTGATGATGCTTTCAAGCTTGTTGTTGATGATTCTGATTTTGTGCTTGGATATATGTTTGGAAAAAGTGAAAGATAAATGCATGTCTATGTGCAAGTTCTTGAAAAACATCAGTCTGTTTCTAAATGTCATTAGAATGGTAGGATGTCAATGGAGGAACATATTAATGATGCTTTAGATTCTGTAGAAGATAGTACTTATTGTGTGGCTAGTGAATCTGAGGATGATGACATCATTTTTATTGAAAATGTTGACGACATTTCTGCAAATGATGGTGAACATGTTGAGGAGATTCCTCTAAATGATAATGAACATGTTGTTGAAACCTTTAGTAATGATCATCCTGTTGTTGAAAACCTAAAAAAAAATAATGAATCTGAGATTGCTAGTGATAGAGATAGTCAAAGTTCTGAGGCTGATGTTGTTAATGGTAGTGGAGTTTTGGATGATAATTTGTCTGATGATGAGTGCTCTTTGTTCAATTTAGATCTTGCATTTAATCCCTCATTTAAAATAGGCATGGTGTTTAGTAGTAGGCATGTGTTTAAGAAAGTAGTCACTTCTTTTGCAATCAAAACTAAAAGTACGGTGAAGTTAAAAAAAATGGTAAGTACAGAGTTTATGTGGTTTGTGTGGAAGAAACTTGTCCTTGAAAAATTCACCTTGTTCAAGTAAATTACTCAACTTCTTACAGAATCAAGGAAATGAAAGCTAAAACACATGTGCTCCTAGTTTTTATGTTAAAAATGTTACATCATCTTCGTTTATTGAGAAGTACATTGATGACTTTAAGACTGATCTTGGTAGAAAAGTTAAACCATGGATAAAAAGGGTTGTGAAAGACATTGGAGTTAATGTTTCTAAACCTCAAGCATATGGAACAAAACAAAGGGATCTGATTGAAGGTACCTCTAATTTTCAGTACAATAAGTTGTGGGATTGTAGGGTGGAATTGTTGAGGCCTAATCTTAGTTTTACAGTTGTTTTAAGGATAGAGGAAAATAAGAATGGTGAACATAGTTTAGTAAGTTTTATGTTTGTTTCTCAGCAGTAAAACAGGGTTTTAAAGCTGGTTGCAGGAGGTTTGTAAGGGTTGATGGTTGTTTGCTTAAGGGTCCACATAAAGGTCAATTGTTAACAGTTGTTGGTGTGGACCCTAATAACAATCTTTACCCTATTGCATATGGAATTTTGAGCATAGAAAATAGAGAGAACTGTGAGTGGTTTCTGATTTTGTTGAAGAATGATCTTGAAATTAAAGAACAAGAAGATGAGACATTTATTTCAGATAAGCAAAAAGGTTTAATTCATGAATTTAATGAGGTTTTACCTTGTAATTTTCACAGGTTTTGTGTGAAGCATTTGAACTTCAACTTCCAAAATTCTTGTTTTAGGGGGTTAGATTTCAAAATGCTTTATGGAGGTGTGCTAATGCACCACTGTTGGAGAGTTCAGACGCCAAATAAAAGAAATGGAGTCTCTATCACCTAAGGCAGCTATCTGGATAAGTGGTAAGCCACCTAAAGAATGGAGCAAAAGTCATTTAAGTTATGGCCCTAAATGTGATCTGGTGTTGAATAATGTGTGTGAAGTATTCAACTACATATTAGAGGTTAGGAAAAAACCAGTGTTGACTATGCTTGAATGACTTAGGCAGTATCTCATCACCAAAATGGAACAGAACAGAGATAGGCATAACTAAAATGGACAGAGAAGTAATGTCCAAAGATTAAACAGATACTTGTTGAGCATATTGAGCAAGTTGGGAACTACATGCTTTTGAAATGTGACAATGTGCATGGGGAAGTTTCAACCTTTAATGGAGGGCAGTACAATGTGAACCTGAAAGAGTGTACTTGTATTTGTAGAAAAATGGGGACTCACTAGCATACTTACCCTCATGCATGCAGTGCAATGTACTTGGCAAAGTTGGATCCAATTTGATTTTTTGGACCCATGTAATAGTGTTAAGACTTTTTTTTTTTAATTTTTTTAAATTTATTTTTATAGTGTTAAGACCTATAAGAAGGTCTATGCTTTTACAATCCTAGGCGTAAATGGTGAAATGTTGTGGGATAAGAGCGTTTATATACCACCACTACCTCCTAATTTTGGTAGAGGTTCAGGTTAAGGCCATCAAGGGCCAAAAGAATGGAAGGGAAGCGCGCGACGCAACAAGACAACGACCACTAGCGAGGTTCAACGACCACCAACAGACAGCAATAGTCCGGTAGTAGTTCGACAACCCCTAAGTAACCTTGGCACAGGTCAATCGACCAACAACCTTAGCGCAAAGCCCTAGGTGATGCGAGACATGACTTACACACTGGGTTGTAGGTGACTCAACTAACAACGTACACAAAAGGAACGAAAGAAAGAAGACGCGTCTCATAACCATTCGTCCGTCTCCATAGACTGTGTATGTTTGTACAGAGTCGACAAAATTTTAAACCCTAAGTACTGATCCTAACTATAGATTTTAATGCATTAGAATTTCATTTTAATAGATTTGGATGTGCACATCGTCGATGTTCCTCCTAAACCCAACATTCATAGGATACGACAGGGTCTCCAAAGAGGTGCCAAACAAGGACTCTCTTAGTGTGAATGCAACTGTAAGCCTTAGCCTACCAACACCATTTACACTTGAATGATATTCTACTCCACTAAAGAAATATTATTGAACTTCTAATCTAGCCTCAACTTACAATTAATTCCTCTTCTGATTTATTTGATCGGTTTACCTCCCCATATTTAAGACCAATCTAATTCTATTGAAATTCTCTCTCTAGCAACGGAATTTCATCATTCGTACAAACGTTATAATTAATCAACTTATTTATATGAATAGTACCACTCAATTCTTTATCATTATTCCAGAATTAATTTGTCTACAGGGCTTGACATAATAAACCTTCTTGAGCTTATTTTGAAGATTACTTTAATATATATGTATAACGAAATATATAAATAATACTCCCTCTTATTTTTAATAAGTGTCATTTTGAGAAGTTGCACAGTAATTAAGAACCTTATTTTTTCCAATAATAACCCTCATTAATGAGAATAGAAATGGATGTTTTGAGAAAAGATGAATAGTGAATATGAAAAGACGTAGTGTATTTATTAGTTAGATGAGGGTAATAATGGAAAAATATGTACAAAAGATCCAGAACGTCATTTATTTAGTTAATTGTTGATAAAGCCAAAATGACATTTAAAAAATAGGAGGTAGTAATATTTTTTATAAAATTCATAAATTACAGATTTAGCTGATGTACTAAATTGAAATATAAGTAATTTTATTAAAATGGCATATAGATCCTTCTAAGTCATCAAATTCTCAATCATCAACCCTTATTGTTGCAAGTTCTGTTTACGTTTTTTCAGGCACCGGCAACTAGGCCATCTCCGGCTCTACTAAACCGCGACCGCGATGCCGAAAAGAAGAGCTCTCCGATGACGCCGGCGTGTCCAATGTCGGCCGCCAAGTGCAGGCGCCCGTGCGGCTGCTCGCGTCGGGCTCGTCGGCAAGCTCTGGCCTCTGGTCGACCGCGAAGACTTCGTTCGTGGGAACACTCCGACATGGCGGGTGGAGGGGGAGATATGTCGCAGCAGGCGCGATGACGGCGGCGGATTTCATGGCGGTGGTCGGGCTTCCACTCTTGGATGGTCCGCGCTGTCGCCGACAGGGGAGGTTGTGCTGCTTGTCCGGAGGGTGGTGGAGGTCCCGGCGGGAGTGGAGGCGGCAACCGACGATCGTGTGTGTCTGTGCGTGTCTGTGTGGGATTAGTGTGCGCGTGTGTGTGAGAGAGAGAGAGAGAGAGAGAGAGAGAGAGAGAGAAAGAGAAAGAGAAAGAGAAGGGGGATAGGGGGTACAGGCTGTGACTTGTGAGGATGTGTGACGGGTGGCAGTTTGTTGATAGTGGGTGGGTCCCACTGAGATGGATAGTTAGGATATTATCACATTACACTTAATGAGTGTAAAAATTAGCATTTTTTAAGTTTATGGATTATATGATTTAATGGCTAAGATTTATTCTTATTTCTTTCACTAAACACCATATATATATATATATATATATATTTTCTTATGATTGGTATGGATTATTGAATGTTTGATGAAGAATTGAGAATTTCCATTTACAACTACTACTTTTAAATATCTTTCCCGTGCATACCACACCTTACTAGTGATGAAATTCAAAAAATTTCAGTAGTTGTTTATTTGCTCTAGAACACAATGGTCATGTGACAAGATTGATTTCCATTTTCCGTTCACTGTTTATCCCAATTGAGATGTACAAGATTGCTCTCCACGTACTACTCCGAGGGAAGTCCAACGTTAAAACAAAAAAAGAAAAAAAAACAAAAGAAAAAAAAATTGCATGCCGCAATAAAATAATGTTTTCTATTTTACAATATATTCATGTTTTGTGAGGGGCTTGGTTTCTGTGTGCTACCAGGAGCAGCCTGGTTAGAAGGTGCAATGTCCTGTTTGCCACTGTGAATTATTTCGTTTATAGTAAAGCTTGTAATGGGAGTTCTGGTGACATGAGATTTTTCGAGAAGATTCTGATGTTCGCAATATTTAAAAA